AAGGAGAAATGTTCTACCTCTGTGGGCAGTGAAGCTCTGGAACAGGTGACCTGGGGATGTTGGGAAAGCTCTATCAAAGGGCAAACAACCATCGGGCTGGTCCTGGTTGGAGTAACGCTACCACAGTACAGGGGCAGAACTGATGACCTCTTGAGATCCCCTCTCAGCCCTACATGTCTGTAAAAGGGAAGGCCAAATCCCAGCCCGTTCTATCTGCATGAACAAACTCTGGGCAGTATTTCTTTGTGGCTGTTTTCTGAGGGCCACACTCTAGAGGGGCAGCAATATCTGAGGCCTAGGCAAAAATTCAGGCATTGCCAATTCAAAGAGGTTGGATTCTGCTGGCTCTTGACCTTGGCTCTATCAATGCAGTCATGTTACCTGCTTCATCTGCTCTGCTCCAGCACCCGCGGCTTTTGATCCCTTGCTGTCATGGCTTGGATCCAGGTTCCTGGCATGTTCTCTAGGTGCAGATTCATCCGCACTTTTTGGAGTCTTTGGAACTAGTGAAGAGCCAGAGAAGAAGGGAGCTGAGGTGGAGACAGACCTTGAGGAAACGCCCTTCCGTGCGTTTTGGAGTCTTTGGAACTAGCACAGAACCAGAGAAGAAGGGAGCTGAGGTGGGGACAGACCCTGAGGAAACGCCCAGCTATGGGGAATGACCTTGAGCAAATGATGAAACGCCCAGCTACAGGGCATGACCTTGAGCAAATGACACAAACTCAGCTTCGTACCCACGGTCACTCTGGTTAAATACGTATTTTCTCAGCCCAGTGGCCCGGAGACTTCTGCAACTTTGACATTATTTTACCCTCACTTCACCCAGAGCTCAACCAAACGTCTTAGTGCTGATGTCAAATGAAATCATGATTCTTAAACCAAACTTAAGCTGAGTTGGCTGTTTGACATCGGGTGTTGATAAAGTCAAATTTGCAACAGTGTACACTCGGCACCCTGTCAATTCCCTGTCAATATATACTTGACAGCCGAACAAAACCCTTTTTTTGAATTCTGTCCTCTTCCTATACTTTGTCCTCTCCTTCAAAGTTAAATACCTCATTTACCCTATCTATTGTAGTCTAGCAGAATACAATATCTCAGTATCATATCTCTCCTCTCTCTGACCCCTCCATTTCCACGGGCTGGAACACAGTCCCATTCCCAGCACGTCCCTTTGTTCCTGGCCCAGCCACACCCTGACCCTGCTTTCAGTTAAGAAAAGAGGAAGCTACATTTGAAGTTTGGAGGTCCAAGCCCTTAACATCGAGGAGGCGCTCTCGAACAAAAAGACTCACAGACTAACAGGCAGACATTTGTGAAATACAGGGATCGATTTGGTTTCCACACTGCACCACAGTAGGTTCCTTTGTGGTTGTGAATATTTTAAACTGTTTACACTGAACACTACTGAATAGTTTCTGACTAGACCAGATCTCAGGCGCAGGTGGGAGATCCCAGCCTCTCGCCTCCTTTCACCCACCTCTCTTCTTCCTGCAGCAGTAGCAGAGCAGAGCAACCAGGACTGCGATCAGGAGCTTCTTCCTGCAGCAGTAGCAGAGCAGAGCTGCCAGGATTGCTATCAGGAGTAAGATGCCACCAGCTCCCAGCAGAATATCACGGATCCTTTGTGAGTCTGTTCAGGGTGCAAAGGAAAGAGAAGGGAAAGCAAATGAGAGCAGCCCAGAAGATATGATAAAAGGTCTGAGCCCTTGTGGGATTTTGCTCCTTTTTGACTCAGGGGGGGGGGGGGCTAATTCCAGTCACGCCATTGGGAGGTGCTTATCTTCTACACCACTGAAAAGTCATAGCTAGAAATGGGGGGTTGGAAATGGGGGAGTTTCTATTGTCAAGTGAGATCTTTCTCCTCATCCAACCCCCCTTTCCCATGAGAGTTCTGGGAGGACTGGTGTCCTTCAGCGGGAGCAACATGGAAAGATGGATAAAGTCATTAGGAACATCTCACCTGTCACAGTGACATTCACAGCCCACCTCCCACCCCCATTCTCCTCGTACCCACAGGTGAATTCCCCAGTCTTGTTGGGACCAGCGTCTGGGATGCCAAGCACAGAGACATTCATGGAGCTGATCTCAGACTTTTAATTCACCCAATTCCTAAGGCTGTAATTCAATTGAGGACTTTGCAAAGATTTTAAGGGAGTATTAACTATGCATTGATCTTGAAGATAAGGTGTCTAAGTGATTGTCATGGATTGGTAGAATAAGAACACCAGGCACATTTTAAAACCACTGGGAAGGACCAACGTGGAGGTGTGGGAAGGTGAAGAGATATGTGCAAAAGCCAAACATTCTAGGAAGAGGCCAAGAACAGATGAAATGATGCCGGGGACTCACCTGTCACCCTGATGGAGCGAGATTGGCTCCTCGCAGATGGCCGAAAATTGCTGTACCTCCCCATCAAGGTGGAAGCAGTGAGGAAATCGAGGGCTCTGAAAAAAGGCAAGCATTTATTCATCGGGACAAAGTATTTGTGATCGAATCCAGCTTAGCCTGGCAGAACAAAGACGATACAACTGCAGAGAACAAACATCCATCGGAAAAAACAGCACAACGAGGGGAAACCCACTGATCCTGATGGGAACGCACTATTATCAAAGGAGAGCGAGGGCGTTCTGACATGACTGGAGGCTCATCCCAGACAGACAAAAAACAGCACAAGGAGGGGAAACCCACTGATCCTGAGGGGAACGCACTATTATCAAAGGAGAGTGAGGGCTTTCTGACATGACTGGAGCCTCATCCCAGACAGATAGACCCCTCGCTCTTCTGCCTGGGATTGAACAGGCTGGCCACAGTCCATGGACTGGTAACTCTAACAGTGATTGGTGGGACAGTGTCTCTGTACGCAAGCGTATGCTAATTGCTTTGCCACTGTATTTTCAAATATGGTTTTCCCCCTATAAAGACAACGTGACACCTCAGGGGGTCTAGCCCCATTCACACTACTTGAGCTATGGCCTATTGACCCCATCTGAGTCTGATCCATTGACACCAGCTTGTGTTCTCGCCATTCATGGAGAAGTCACTGAAACCAGCCCCTCGTGCAGCAGCGTCCTTGGGGAGTGATTTAAACTGGTTTTTGGAGGGTCTAATGTGTCACGGAGTCTTTGTAAAGACACAGAACTGGTCCCTTCCGTGAAAAACTCAGGCCAAACCATCAGTCATTTACCCCAGATTAATTGGCCCCTGAGACGTTACAAAGACCCACAGTAGCCAAGTCTGCAGTAAACGCTATAAGAGTTTATTGGTGAGGAGAAAGGAAGCAGAGATCTAGCTGCAGAATACAGACATTAAAGAGACACAACCCAAAGGTTGCTTTTGCGCAAAATCTTGCCAACTGTCTAAACTGGCCGTGAGAATTTGCGCAAGAACACTGACGATCTAATGTAAGATTGTCAGTGCTTCTTGCGCAAGAACTCTGAGGCTCCCGCTCGGGAAAAAGCCCTCTTGAGCAAGTGTTCTTGCGCAAGAGGGCCGGTGTAGACAGGGAAGGACCTTTTCGTGTCAGAAAGCCCCAATGGCGAAAATGGCCACCGGAGCTTTCTTGCACAAAAGTGCGTCTATACTGGGCACGGATGCTTTTGCGCAAAAGCATCCGTGCCAATCTACATGCTTTTTTGCGGAAATACTTTTAACGGAAAAACTTTTCCGTTAAAAGTATTTCCGCAAAAAAGCATGTAGATTGGCACGGATGCTTTTGCGCAAAAGCATCCGTGCCAATCTAGACGCTCTTTTGCGGAAATACTTTTAACGGAAAAACTTTTCCGTTAAAAGTATTTCCGCAAAATCATGCCAGTCTAGACGCAGCCAAAGAGTTCCCATCTAGATCCAGAGAGTGACAGAGCTGCAGGGAGCTGTCTTTTCACAGGGTCTCTCTGGGCAAACCCAGGACACATCTCATGGGGATCTCTGGTTTCAGTGCAGAGGCTCTGGCCCTTCCGAGTTCAAACAGCCAAAACGATTCAGTTTCTTTCCCGTGGGGACTTTCGTTCACACATTCGTCTCCACTTCCTAGGTTGCAGGGGACACAATCCACCAAGTGTTTTGCCTTCTTCTGTTCCACAACTGTGTGTCTTGAGGCCTTCTTTGGCAGGGCAGGAAATAACCCCTCCTGTGGCAAAATCATATTCCACTCGTGGTCCTGGTTCTCTCCACACTGCGTGTGTTTATCGTTTCAGCTCAAACACTGAAATATCCCCTTGTAATATTTGGTACGGGCGTTATCAGGAGGGTGACTGCAGGCAGCTATATATGAGCATTTGGTAGAAATGTCTGAACATAAGAGACACGTTTAGGAGACTAATTCCTATTTTGAGCCAAATCAACAGCCATGTGGCCTGCTCTGGTCTCCAGCAATGAAGTGGGCAGTTTTAGCATGTTACCCTGCATTTAAGGTGTGTGTTTGTATCCCATATTGTGATGAAATCAACAGACACCATGCGCATTAGCCACCACGGATTAAGCAAAGAAAACACGACCTTGTTAATAGTTAATGGGAAAGCAGGCACTTAGCTTGGAGGTCAAAACTAGCTGGTGGTTCCTGGCAAAATTGGGGAAGGGGAAAGAAAATCAACGAGTGAGATTGAAAATCACAGTGAATGAGACCTGAGTCAGGTCGCCTTGGATATCGTACGAAATGTGATGATTCCACAGAGAGCGTTACGACTTGGCTGCTCTGCAGCAGTTGGTTATGAGATATAAGACTAATGTGGCCGCAGCAGCCATGTCAGATGGAAGCGACTTTGAACCTTCTCGATTCTCCAGGGGAGCACGTCTGTCGATGGGCTTTGACTTTGCTCAAGGAGGAGGCTGGTCTCTTGGGCAGGCCATCTCCAGCCCCATCGATAGCTGAGTCATCACCTCCTTTCCAGGGCTTTGCTGCAAGGCGTATGGAGAAGCAATCCCAATCCATGTTCAGCCTGTGTCTCCAGCTCATTGTGGTTCAGTCTCTTTCCATGATCACTCGGTTCTCTCAGTCCTCGATTGGGCAATTCTGCATTTCCTGGTTGGTGTTAGGAGAAGCAATCCCATTGCGCTGTGTTCAAATACGGATTTCACAGGGACACACAGAGAACAGCCGTATCTCCGCCTGTGTCGCTCTCACATACACTCCTCTGTGCTATTGTAGTTTGGGAGGTTGTTCCTCCTGAGGCAGAGTACAGAGCCACATTGGCACAGATACACGTGGGAAGTGAATACTGGGGAGCCGGGTTCACACCAAAGAAGCAATCTCTGTAATGCAGCTGTTAAAAAGTGGCCGTGCCCCGCCATGGACACAGCTGTAGTTCGATTGGTGGCTGAAATGCTCATGGTGCCCAAAGCCCTTTCAGACCCTGCGGGTGTTTCCAAGGTTTCACCCTTTGATTTTCCACCAGAACTTCCCCCTCCAGGTTGAAATTCAAGCTGAGTGATTGCAGCAAATAGGACAACTTGTGGAGAGAATCCACGGCACGTAAAGAAGGGCCCCTCAAGGGGACAAGCCAGGTTCCTGGATCTAGAAGCAGCGATAGGAGACATGGACGAGGCCATTGATGAGGAAGAAGGAGCCACCCACGGCCACTTCCCGGACCCAGCGGAAGTCGTGAGCTGCGGAGACTGGAGAATCAGGAATGGAACCAGCTGATTAGTGTCACTGCTCAGCATCCTGCCCGTTGTATCAAAGATTTTTCTGCCTTTAGGATCTGCGACAAACTCCTCTGGATCTGAGAGGTCATCAGGCTGAGATGGGAAACCCACTCCAAGCCCTTCCCTGTCTGACACATGGACACTGACCCCTGATCCTTCCTGTCTGTGTGTCTGTCCCTCTCCTGCCTTCCTGTCCTGTAACTCCGCTGTGACCTGCCCTGTCCTTGCTTGTCCTGCCAGAGCAGTGGGGAAGTGTAGGGGTTTGGGAAGGAAACCTTGGGGATATAGTCACAGGCAGCAGCTGACTCACCTGACACTGTGATGTTTCCAGTAACATTCACCGTCCAGCTCCTGAGGGACGGGATCCATCTTCCAGCCACGTTCTCCTCGTACCCGCAGGCGAATTCCCCGGTGATGTTGGAACCGGCCCATGGGATGCTGAGCACTGAGCCCTTCACAGAGCTGGTGCTTGGCTCCATGGTGCTCATCTTGGACCCCAGATCCCCGGGAATGAGCTCGGCTCCGTCCTTGTAGAAGTGAAACCTCCGCTCGCGGGCATCCCCGGGGGCCGTGCAGGTGATGTTCAGGGAAAACCCTTCGCTCACCACTCCAGACGGGGGATCCACACTCAGCTTCGGCTGGGAAGGGGGATCTGTGGGGAGCAGGAAAGGGGAGGGGTCAGCAGGGCCCCGGGAGGGGAAAAAGTGGAGCCCAGAATTTGGTTAATTTACAGTTGCACTTTGTTCTCTCTCCAGAGCCTCTGGTTTCATTGCAGGGTCCCCAGGGGCTGCTCACAGAAATGAGCAGGAGCTGGGCTCGGGATGGCTTCCTTCCTGCCAATATGGGGCTGAGATATGGGTAAGGGGGTCAAAAGTGGACAAGGGCAACAGGACATCACTCGTTTTGTGTCCCCCTCCGTGGCTTCATGGAGCCTTTGACAGACAGGGAGGTCCCAGGGTCTGTGGGGATCCCCTCCCCTCTGGCCAGGCTGTTTGAGACCTGGGGCCCTGCTCAGAATCCACCATCCTGGAGGGGAGAGGCACGAGGCAGCCACGCCATGTCAGAGGGGGGTGCCCAGGTCTGTGTCCGTTGGGCGGCCATGTTCTTTGCTGCTTTGACCGGCCATTTGCTGTGCCACTCTGAGGGCAACCATATTGGAAATCAGGGGCCATGTTGGATGGACGTGTCCATGGCTGATTTGTGTTGAGGTCCATGTAGCCCTGTGGCTTGTTTGGGGGGCCTGTGTTCTCAGCTGGGCCACCACGTTGAGCGCAGGGGGAGGGAGGAGAGTGAGCAGAGCTGGAACCAAAGGAGGGAGGACGGGGGCTGGGGCTGGTTCTGCTCCAGGTCTCTGCCCTGTGGGAGGCAGGAGCGCAGGCAAGATGCAAGGCCTGGCATGGTCGATCATCTTGTGACTGGGCTGGCGATCCAGGCCTGGGCTCTGGATTCTTTGCCTCAGCTCTGCGCCCCAGTGGGCCCCTCCTGGTTTGCATGGGGATCCCATCAGAGATCAGCTCCCTGCCTTGGCTGGTTGCCAGGTTGAGATGGGATCCTCATGCATGTGTGGGTGGGGAGGGGGGTTGGCTAAGAATAACAGGTCTGGGGAGCAGAGGGAGGGCAGACGATGGTGCTGAGGGAAGGACCCCCTAGGAGGGAGGGGTCAGTGCAGGGGGTGGGGAAGGAGGAAGCCCCAGGCTCTGCAAACAGAATCCAGGAAGCCAGGCTGGGGACACGGCTGGGGAACAAGAGCAGGATGGAGAGTTCTGCCCCCCTCCGAGTCCCACTGTGCCCTGTGCTCTCATGTCCCCCCACAGGGTCAGGGTCTGTGGCTGCAGGCTGCCCAGGGCACAGCAGGGGTGAGGGGCAGGTAGCCTCTGTCTGTGTTGTGAGCCTCAGCCGGTCACTCCCTTGCCACCAGGTGCACTTTGGAGACCAGATCCCGGCTGTCAGTGTAAGATTTGTAATTGGGGGTCCCCAGCATGTCAGGGTGGGATCTCTCCCTCCCCTATCGCTGGGCTGTGGGGACCCTGGTGAACTGGTCAGGGGTCAGGGAACATCAGACATGGATCCATCCTCTGACGATAGTTATGGAGTGGAAGGGCTGAGGATGTAAAACAGGATTCCTGGTCAGGTTCCCCAACTGCAATGCCCTGAAGTGACAAATTTAAAAAGTAACTGGGCAGCTCTCCCTTCCCTTAGTGTCCAGTGCACCACCCCCAACCCCCGGCATATCAGACAGCAGGGCCTGATGCTGACCAGAGACAGGGCAGGCTGGGGGAATGTTTAATTAAAGGTCCCCAATTTTACAGATGTTTGAAGGCTGGGGTCCCCTAGAAGGAAAGTAGCATCAATGTCCCCACCCCCAAATCCCAAATCCAGAGACCCAGGGAGTGACACTGACCAGATACGGGGGCTGGATCTGACCCAGTAGCCCTGGCTGGCCCTGTGCAGAGCTGAGTGCTGGGCTCTGTCTCACCCCAGGCATGGAGCAGAGACACCCCAGCAAGGGCCAGCAAAAATCAGGGCATGGGGGGGACTCACCTGTCACCCTGATGGAGCGAGATTGGCTCCTCGCAGATGTGATCTCTCGGCCAGACACTGTCTTCCAGGACTCACAGTTGTACTCCCCAGCACTGCCTGCAGACACGCTCAACAGCGGCAGTGACTCGGTGTGACTGTTGCGAGGTGAGGGGAGTTCCTTGGACTGGATTTCCCGACTGTCCCTGTAGAACCGGATCCCAGACACGGTGGGGGACCCAGCAGCTGAGCACGTCAGGGTCACATCTTCCCCCGTGATATAGACAGGCTGTGACTGGGACACAGTGATCTGGGGGACTGGAAGAGAGGCTGGAATATACAAGGGGGAGAAGACCATTCTTATTTGGGAGGCTGAGGACAGAGGCAGAGGAGGAGCCAGGGGAGGGCAGAGCAGGGAGGGATCCTGGGCACAGACCCCAGCCAGCCCCAGCTCCGTGCCCCGGAACCACGTCCACACCGGGCTATAGAACCCTAGAACTGGAAGGAACCTCGAGGGGTCATCGAGTCCCCTCCCCTGACCACACATCAGGACCCAGAATCATCTAGATCATCCCTGACCGGTGTCCATCCAACCTGTTCTTCAATATCTCCAGGGATGGAGATTCCACATCCTCCCTAGGCAATTTATTCCAGTGTTTAACGCTCCTGAGAGGCAGGAAGTTTTCATCATGTCCAACCGAATTCTCCCTTACTTCAATTAAAGCTCTTTCTGCAGGATTCCTTCCTAGACAGGGGGAAGGAGACAGCTCCTATGGGGGCAGAGAAGGAGCCAGGGCACAGCCCCAGCCAGCTCCAGTTCTGTGCTCAGGAACCACGTTCCCACTGGGCAACCCCTGAGCAGCAGAGATCTCCCTGCCCACAACCCAGTGGGACCAGCCTCCCCTGCTGGGTAGCTGAGGGGGCCACTCCTGTCCAGGGCAGTTCAGCCAGCAGGGGGGGGGAGGGCTTGTGCAGCTGAGTCCAGGGGGTCAGGGAGCTGCCCCCCAGCAGGCACAGCCCACGCTGCCCTGCAGTAAAGGCAATTGCCAGCAATGTGTGTGTGGGAGGGGGAGGGGAGGATGGAGTCTAGATCCCTCATCTGACAACATCCTGGAAACAGCAGCCAGGCTGCATCCTTATCATCTGTTGCTCTTGTCTGCCTGCACGACAGGGCTGTGATCTTCCCCCTTAGCAGTGCCTAGTCTCTGCAGATCAGGCAGGACCCCCATGCCCACCACAGAGTGTCTGAGATGCAGGGAGGGGCCCTGGTTGGGGACAGGGGGTGCAGATCAGGTTTTGGGGGCTGGGACCACGTGTGAATTTTCCATCATATTAACTGATCCATCCCCCATCTCCCATTCCCAGGTTCTGGAAAACAGGCACCGGCATCATTAGCCAGGTCCTACGACTGCCCAGAACTGACCCCTCTGTGGCCTAGAGCCGAGCTCTGAGAAACACTTTTGGGTGCATTCAGAAATCACCGGCACTGGAGGATCCACCCGAGTAGTTAGGGAAGGTCTAGTTAGACATGAACAAGTTCTATTCTTCATTTTATTGATTGGTTAAATTTCTCTGTGCCCCTCCCCCATTGTAATTTTACACTGAATTCCAAGGATGAAATTCTGGGTTTTGATTTGTTAATTTCTTAAAACAGCTGCCAACCAAGTATTCGTTACCAAGCAGGTCTCTGTTTTGTTAATAAAATCTCCTTTTCTAAGGCCATGATCTGATTCTTGTGTCCTGGAAAGCAACAGGAGGTCTGAGTGTGCGTGCCTAAGACTGAGAGCTCAGACAGAGATGTGTTTTCAAGCTCTCTTGTGGTAGAGGAGCTTGGGGTACCCTCTGGAGATGTTGCTAAGTGATTTCTTCCTGGGTTGAAGAAGAAAGGGGAATCTCTTCTCAGTTGCTGGTTGCAGCGACCTCCCAAGGGCAGGAACTCTGGGACGTGGGGAGCTTTCAGGTAATGACAAAACTCCAAAAATTCTGTTAAAGAACCCTTTTCTTTCTTACCATCAGCCATTAACAACTATGCAAATTTTGAATGTAATCATGCAAATGTCATGTGCAAGGCTCATGCACAGGCTCTTGCTCCAGTGATCATCCACCAAAACCCGAATTCTTGGAGATGGGATGTCCCCAAATCACTCGCCCATCTCCTCTGACCACTCCCATCCACTCCCTCCCTCCCCCTCCTGTTCCCTAGTGACAGGCTGGGGGAGGTGCATTCCTCTGCACCCCACAGGGAACTGCTACGGCTGGGGAGAGATGCACCTCCCCCAGCGAGGCAGCTCCATGTGCGGCAGCCCAGAGCCATCGGGCAGGGCGCATTAAGCAGCTGCGCGGCCGCCCTGCCATTCAGCCTGGCAGGAACCCTGGGGATCGGTCGCCCCTTCTGGCCACAGAACGGATGTTTCCGTGTCACTGACGAATGTCACAGACCTGACCTGAAATCTGGGCTATAATGAAACATCCCAGCTGATCAAGTCCTGCTGTAAACTGAAACCACTGCTGTTGCTTGCTGGTATCCCCCCTCCATCCCCATCTCCCAGCTACCTCCCCTTCTCCGGCACCCTCAAAATGCCAGGTGCTCCAGGGACCCAAGGACTGACACTGACCAGAGATGGGGCTGAAACTGACCCCACGGTGACCATGTCTGGAGCTGAGTGACCGGGCTGTGTCACCCGTGCATGCAGCAGACACCCCGCACCCCAGCCCAGCCAATAGCAGGCAACAGGGGCTCTCACCGGTCACTGTGATGGAGATGGGTCGGCTCCTCTCTGATGGGATCTCTCGCTCAGACTCTTTCTTCCATGATTCACAGCTGTACGCGCCAGCGTCTGTCTGAGACACACGCAACAGCTGAAGAGATCTGGCTTTGTACGGATACCGCTGGAGCTCTCCATAGTAGATTCTCTGGTGATCCCTGAAGAACCGAATCCCAGACACAGTGTCAGTGCTGGGAGCTGAGCACTTCAGGGTCACAGATTCCCCACGTAGGAAGACGTGGTATTGTGGGCTCACAGTGAGGTCAGGGACAGACGGCCGGGCTGGAAGAGGGAGGGAGGAAGCAGAAAACTCTTCAGAGCCAGCGCCCCACTCCTCAGCCAGTCCCACCCAGAGCTTCTCCCAGCCCCCCAATTTACCCCTTGCAGTCCAGCCCCTCTGCACAGCTCTGGACCCCGTGCCAAAACTCAGCAGCTCTGACATAGGAGGGTGCCAGGGTGGATTCACTGGACACAATACTCCAACTGAGGCCTAATCAGCGCAGAGTAGAGTTTAAGAATGACCTCATGTCTTGCTCACAACATACTCTTAATGCATCTGAGAATCAGGTTTCCTTTTTTTGCAACAGTGTCACTCTGTTGACTCATTTAGCTTATGGTCCACTATGACCCCTAGATCCCTTTCTGCCGTACTCCTTCCTAGACAGTCGCTTCCCATTCTGTGTGCGTGAGACTGATTGTTCCTTCCTAAGTGGAGCACTTGGCATTTGTCCTTATTAAACTTCATCCTGTTTATTTCCAACCATTTCTCCAAATCATTTTGAATTTTGACCCAATGCTGCAAAGCACTTGCAAACTCTCCCAGCTTCGAATCATCCGCCAGCTTAACAAGAGAATTCTCTCTGCCAATATCTAAATTGTTGACGAAGATATTGAACAGAACCGGTTCCAAAACTGACCCCTGTGGAAACCCACTTGTTCTGCCCTTCCAGCAGGAGAGTGAACCATTAATAACTACTTTCTGAGAATGGTTCTCCAGATAGTTATGTACCCACGTTATAGTAGTGCCAACAAAGATCTGCTTGCCTAGTTTATTGATAAGGAGGTCATGCAAGACCATATTGAATACCTGACTAAAGTCTAGCTATATCATGTCCTCTGCATGGTGTCACATTACTGGATTTTGAGGGGAGCAGCCAGATCACTGTTGTACCCATAGGGGGATGCTAGGCGCTACACAGGCAAACCGCTAGTTCGAACTTAATTCGAACTAGCGGAGCGCTTAATTCAAACTAGGTAAACCTCATTGTACGAGGACTAACGCCTAGTTCAAATTAAGTAGTTCGAATTAAGGGCTGTGTAGCCACTTAATTCAAACTAGTGGGAGGCTAGCCCTTCCCAGCTTGCCCTGGTGGCCACTCTGGGCACCACCAGGGAAACTCTTCTGCCCCCCTCCCGGCCCCGGAACCCTTAAAGGGGCACGGTCTGGCTACGGTGCCCGTGCCAGTTGCAAGCCTGCCAGCACCCAGCCAGCAGACCCTGCACCTGGCACGGCACGAGCCAGTGTCTTGTGCCATCCATCTCTAGCCTTCCATAAACGGTGGCCAGGGACACCATTTCTACCCCCTGGCTAATAGCACTCCATGGACCCAACCTCCATGACTTTATCTAACTTCTCTT